TCCCTGCTTGCCTCCTTCCCTGCCTGCATCCCCCCTTCCTTGCCTGTCTCCCCCTTCCCTGCCCGTGTCCCTCCCTGCAGGGCGAGCCAGGATTTAACCCGACACTCTTCCAGGTATTGCCATCGCCAAGAGCAAAGGGGCACGGTACCGGCTTGGCCCAGAGCTCGAGATCTGGTAAGAGCACTCTGTTGGCTCTGGGGTTGATACGTTCCTGGTTAATCACACAAGAACAGTCAGTAAGAGCAGCCCCGTGGTACTGTGGTGCCCAGAGCCTTCCTTAGAGCATGTGGCTCTCACTGCAAACTAGAGCAGTGCAATTGTGAGCACAAGGTTGGTTCTCCTGTCTTGGAAACTTGTCTGCTACCAATAATGTTTGACCCATTTCTGTGTGTCTTCCTTCAGAGAAACTGTAGTGCTTTGTGTTCTGCCTGGGCCCAGGTTCTGTAGGAGTAGTGCTTTGAGTGTAGTGCTTTGAATTCTGCCTGCTGCCCTTGAAAGGAATATCATGGGGTGATGTAAAATGCCACGGAGTTTTAAATGCTGTCAGTAGGGATGATGTTGACAGCACTGCTGATGTTGACAGCACTGCTGCTTCCTTTTCTGTATAAATTACCTATGGGGGTGAAATGTTCCCTGTCTGAAGTAGTTTTGGCTCTTTGGTTCCGGTGCTGATATGGCTGAATTTTTGATTTCTTATTATTTTTATATGCAGTGGCTATGGCTGCTCAGATCACTATTATGAGTCTGACACACTCTTGCATTCGTTTCAAGTTCTGGAAAAGCTGTTGGAGTCTCCAGCTACTCAAGATATTATCTGTGATGTGGGAATGTAAGTATTTCAGTGCACATATGATAAAGGAATTGGTCTTTAGGGAATGCTGCCTGTGCCATGTTTCTGGATCGTGGGGGCTCTGCACCAGACTGTCAAACATATCTTAGGAACTACTTTCCCCTGTAATTACCATGTCAAGCACTGTGACATGCAAAACACTTTCTGAAAGATAATCCTTTCCAAGATTTCTGGTGGTTGAGCCCTTCAAGCCAGAAATATGCTAATTACAGTCATTTATTGAGAACCTCAATGGCTGGGCCCTATTGCCACAGGTCAGACTTTGTGTTACATGTAACACAAAGCCCTTTGTAAACTGCATCTTTGAGGAATGTTGGGGCTGACATAACTTGCTTTGACTGACAGACACCTGTAAGCAACATAAGTGTATGTCAAAGTCACTGAAAACATTGTCCATCATGTGCTGACAGTGAAGAGTGATAAATTGTAACTGTAAAATGGACAAATATACCTTCATGTTAGTATTGATGTAAATGCTTAAAGCTAGCTGAATTTTGGACTGGGAAGTGTCATGGGATATCAGGTGTGATTAAACAGGTTGGCCCAGCCACAGGGATTGTCCTGGTCTGCTCATGTTCCTAAGGCATGCCAGGAATGGCTATTAGCTGGTATATCTGAGACTGACAGGATAGAAAGTAACTCTGGGGGTTTTTTTTTCAATCAACTATTTGAATATAAAAATTTGAAGCTAAAAGTGGATATGTTGTTTTGCTTAATTCCTTTAATGAGGCCTTAAAATAGGTTTTGTGCAGCGAAGTAGATTCTGTAGCTTTTTGTACCTTCATTTAATGAGGTTAGTCACTGCTAACTTTGCTTGTTTTCCCAGGCCTGTTCTGCACAGAAATGTTCGCTACAATTGCCGAGTGATCTTTTTAAATAAGTGAGTAGTTCTTTGTGTTTTCTGAGAGAACACCTTAGTGTATCCTTTCAGAGACCTATTCAGCCTTCAAGACAGATTCTTCAGTGCTATGTAGAGTGGTAGAGTGATGGAGTTATCTTCCTATCTACTAAATTATACAGTGACAACTACTGTTTTTCATTATCTCTTTTTTTCTTTTCTGGATTTGTAGAAATTCCCAAAGACTTCAGAAAAAACCCTTGAGTCTGCAAACAGAAACATAAAAAATGTTTGCATGTAGTAATTGTTTAATATACATCATAATAGAAAAAAATCAGTGTTCATATCTAGCCTTGTTTGGCTGTACACCAGGTCTTAACTCACCCTTTCTGTTTTGTTTTATGATTTAAGGAAAATTCTTCTGATCAGACCAAAGATATCCCTGGCAAATGCAGGAAACTACAGGGAACTGAGATGGTTTACCCCGTGGAGCAAAGCAAGGTATGCTGCTGCCCATTACAGTTGTGTTTAAAAACAGAACTCTCTGTTTGCAGCAGCAGCAGGACTGAAATCTCTGCAGCAAATCATCAGTGCTGCTACAGGGAGAGCAGCAAGACAAGAGTCAGCTAAGCTTGGTGAGAAAGCTTAATGAGTGCAACCAAACTGAATTGCTGAGCTGGAAGGAGGAGTGGGGCTGAGTGATCCTGCAGCCAGTATAATAGTGTCCTTTTCTTTGTGTCTGCTTTCTGACAATGCACAGTTCAGGGCTGGAGGAGCTCATGCTTATCTGCTCCACTGCTGCAGCCTGTCCAATATTAATCTGGCAAACACTGTGACATGGATGAGCTCTGTCAGAATTTTAACATCTGCAGAGAACGGAAACTACATACCTTAAGATGCTGCAAAATACACTTGACACTCATCTCTGCTGTTGTGCACTCATCCAATAGTCAGGGAATGGTTCTAACTTGGTCTCGGTAAAGCAGTTCTGTGAGCATCTGTCCTGAGCCCCAGTGAGTTCCTGATGAGTTCTGAGTTGCTCGTGTAGTAACGCTGCAAAAGAGAGAAACTTTACTTGGTGTTTGACTTGCACAGTGTGTTCTTTGTTAAGTCTAGTTTACAGCTAGGATGAAGCATTGTTTACCATGCAAAGAGGGATGTTGCTAGCTTAAAATTTTAACATTTCTGATCCATTTCATAGAAAATCTGAAGGCCTTTATTTTTTAAACACACACAGCCCTGTACAACTTCAATACAGTTTCTCTAACCAATGGTAGAAGGTGTCAGAATGTGGAGATGAGAATCACTTGTCATGCTGTGATTTACATAACAATGTATTCACAATCTATAAACTTGCTTTAGGCATGTGGAGGAATATTTTCTACCCAGGAGAATTCAGGAAGTGACTGGGCAGGTAAGTTGTGAGAGTTTTTGACCTTTAGCATCTTCCAGATGCAGCAATTAAAACCTGCAGCATACCAAATTCTGCTGCCTGTCATGTTGCAAACTCATACACAGGAGCTTCATTGTCTTATTTTGCACAGTTCTGGTTCAGAGTTTTATCTGTGCTTGAGACTAGAACTGAGTCTGTGTTTTTATGCTCTTTAACTTAGGCTAATTCCTGCTAAAGCATGAGTGTGATTCCTAGCAAGAGACAGAATCTGTTTTGTAGATTTTTTTTTAAACTCCTGTCCTGAAGCAAAGCACTGGATCTGAATACTACTGAAATTTCAACACAGAATTTCAGTCAGTTCAGAAATTTGCAGTTTAGAGCTTTTGTTTTTTTCTTGACACTTGGTACAAAATCAGGGAAGGTGGAATGTGATTGATATTGTGTCACTCATTTCACATGAGTATTCGATTTATATATTTTTAAGAGAGTTGGAGTTAACTTTTTGAATCAAACAGATTCTTTTACTACACATGGATTTCAACACAGAATTTCAGTCAGTTCAGAAATTTGCAGTTTAGAGCTTTTGTTTTTTTCTTGACACTTGGTACAAAATCAGGGAAGGTGGAATGTGATTGATATTGTGTCACTCATTTCACATGAGTATTCGATTTATATATTTTTAAGAGAGTTGGAGTTAACTTTTTGAATCAAACAGATTCTTTTACTACACATGGATAAGGATGTTCTCGTTTTTCCTCAGGAAACTGTTTGGGGATGCAATGCAGTGCTAGTGACCAAAGACACCTGCCTAGGGGCAGAAATATGTGAAGAACTCTGGGCACCAAACAGGTAAAGGAGAAGAAGAAATGAAAAGTAAACTGAAACACACCCTGGACCTGCCTGAAATCAATGTTTGAAGGGATCTACTTATTACTCCTCTATGTAATTTATCTTTCAGAAAGTGCCAGTGAGCTAAATATAGTTAGGAGCAAGAGTCTAGTAATTGCAAGTTGGTCTTATTCCCACTTATTGTACCTAGTCTCAAAATTTTGAGATTATTTGTAGGTCTTTTAATTACTTTATTCCTTATATCATTGGATTTGACCAGCCCCTCCAAATTATTAACAGACAAATTAAGCTCTCTTCTGTTTGACATAGGTATGAACAATAGTTTCTAGGCAACATCATTTCAGATGTACCACTTTTCTTGAAAATTTAGTTGTTAGCTTAGTCCTGCTGCTTTAATTATTAACCAGACAATGCATAAACAACAAAAAGTCACTAAGGGAAAGCAAAGCTTATTCCCCTGTGTAATATTTCCTGTTGTTACTTTACTTCCTGTTACAATTTAAAGTTCTTCCTAATAACGAAGAAAATTCCTTTCATGCAGGTCTGATGTGGGCTGGGGTGGAGATATGGCTGCAGTTACAAAATAAAATACTCCTGGTATTTTTCCAAATCTCCCAGTTACAGACATTAATTTCCTTGTCTGTTCCCCTGTTACTTGTGGTGTGTCAAAGATGTGATTTTTATTTTTCTCTTTTTAGTATTTCTCTCTTAGGACATAGGGAAAAGAAAAAAACAGTAGAAGTGTTCTTCTCATGGTTCTGTTTCTGGATTTACTAAGAGACAAGGAAAATGGGACAACTGACCTTGCAATGTATATCTATGTTGCCCTTTCAGACTAAGAGTGTGTTATTCTCTCTTTCTTTGAGAGAATTCTCTCAAATCCTCCCAAAGAGAGAATTCTCTCTTTCTTTGGGCTTCTATAGAGCTGAGGAGAATGAGCACAAACTCTCCTGACCTCTGCAGCCACGGCTGGGCTTGGACAGAACAGTAAGGCAATGCAAGAAAATAAATATTTTTCAAAGTCCTATCCTGGTTTGAGCTCAGAAATGCAGAAAACCGACAAGGAGTTAGTTGTTTTTGTTTGTTAGTGATTTAAAATCATACCTGTACTCCTCTCCTGGTATTTTTCCAAATCTCCCAGTTACAGACATTAATTTCCTTGTCTGTTCCCCTGTTACTTGTGGTGTGTCAAAGATGTGATTTTTATTTTTCTCTTTTTAGTATTTCTCTCTTAGGACATAGGGAAAAGAAAAAAACAGTAGAAGTGTTCTTCTCATGGTTCTGTTTCTGGATTTACTAAGAGACAAGGAAAATGGGACAACTGACCTTGCAATGTATATCTATGTTGCCCTTTCAGACTAAGAGTGTGTTATTCTCTCTTTCTTTGAGAGAATTCTCTCAAATCCTCCCAAAGAGAGAATTCTCTCTTTCTTTGGGCTTCTATAGAGCTGAGGAGAATGAGCACAAACTCTCCTGACCTCTGCAGCCACGGCTGGGCTTGGACAGAACAGTAAGGCAATGCAAGAAAATAAATATTTTTCAAAGTCCTATCCTGGTTTGAGCTCAGAAATGCAGAAAACCGACAAGGAGTTAGTTGTTTTTGTTTGTTAGTGATTTAAAATCATACCTGCAGTACTCACAGCACAGTATTGCCAGCTGATTTATTTTCCTGCCTTTCACTTGGACAGCCCTCACATTGAGATGGGGCTTGATGGGGTGGAAATCTTCACTAACTCTTCTGGGAGTCACCACGTGCTGCGTAAGGCTCACGCTCGTGTGGATTTGGTGAATTCTGCCACAGCAAAGGTATGTATTTCAAAAAGATAATTAATTTTTTTTTGGTTGTGCCCCTCATGTGTTTTCTAAAACAGTCTCCTCTCCTGTGACAGGACACAGAGCTCTGTTTGTTTTCAAGAAGAGAAGACATTAAGTAATTAGATTGCAATTCTATCTAATAGTGATAGACACAAAAATAAAGCAGTGAGTGTACATTACACTGTGAAAAATGTGCAGCTGCTTTGTCATTGTAATTTGCTTTGGGTATATTTGACAGTATCTGCTCTGTCCTCAGTATCCAAACACAGCTTCTGTCATCATCTTCCTGCTTTTCTCAATGCCAGTTTGAACTTAGAATCTCAATTCTATTTGGGCTAAGGGAATGGCTCTTGCTACTAACCTAAGACTCCTGTCTTTCAGCAGTGTGAAGGGGAGAGCTCACTTACTTCATTTACTCATGTAATTACTGCTTTTTGTCATGCATATCACATGCAAAGTACTTTTTCAAATGACAAGAGTCACAGCCATAAATCATTTACCATGAAAAGAGAGAGGATGATCCTAAGAAAGGCAGGACCAGAGAAATAACTTTTTGTCTTTTAACCTGCTGTCAGGTGCTGTATTCTGAACAGGTTTTTTTGTTCCTGCATGTTTGTTTCCCTCCCAGAATGGTGGAATATATGTTTTAGCTAACCAGAAAGGCTGTGATGGTGACCGTCTGTATTATGATGGCTGTGCCATGATCTCAATGAATGGAGAAACAGTTGCACAAGGATCCCAGTTCTCACTGGATGATGTGGTAATATACTCACCCTGTAGCTGAAATTAAGCTGAAATTAAGACTACATTTTATGCTCAACACTTTCCAGACATTGCAGACAGTAGGCCCATGTCTCTAGACTAAAAAAGGTGTATTTTTACTATGCTATTCAACTAGATCCAAGTTTTTTCCTACTCATACTGCCCAGACCTGATCTCCTGCTTCTGCGAGGGAGGAAGAGGTGTCACAGTGGAAGAACCTCGTGAAAATGTTTGTGTATGCAATCCCCACGTTGAGCAGTGACTGTTAACTTATATTTCCTTATTTAAAGAGAAACAGGGCAAAGATTGCAGTGTCCTAATGACACAGTTTTGTAGACAAAAGGCTTGATAGGTTGAGCCTTACTTCAGAAAGCCCTTTCTCAGTAGATTCATCAAAGTTGTAGTTTCCTCACATTATGTGCCAAATTCATCTCTTTGCCCAGTTTGCTTCTTGCCCTTTCCTTTGCCACAGCTGATGGTGAACCTTTTGTTCAGTCATCTGAAACTAGTTGTGGTTTGAGTGTACTCAGTGAGGCAAATTGGCTGTGCGCACTTTCAAACCCAAGTAATTCTGCTGAGCCAGAAGTGATTTGTGAAGTGAGCATAGAAAACTGTACTGAAAAACGTTCCCAACATTTTTGTAGCCCAGGCCTGCCAAAGCATTGTTTATCTGTTTGTGTAGAATCCATATAATGCTGAAAGTCTTTCCACAGGAGGTGCTGGTTGCCACTCTGGACTTGGAGGATGTTCGAAGTTACAGAGCAGAGATTTCATCCCGTAACTTAGCGGTAAGAATTCTCTAGGGAGGTTATGTTTGTAAGCTCTGCTAACTTTGAACAGTTATTGGATTTAAAAAGTATTTGCATGTCTTGATTTTCATGGTATTCTATAGATCTGATGTTTTATAGGTATATGCTACACTAAAATTGATGTCTTATGAATTCTTCTGTACTGTTGCTTAGGCAAGTAAAGTGAATCCTTATCCCAGGGTGAAAGTGAATTTTGCTCTGTGTCCTGATGATATAGCTGTACCTACCTGTATGCCAATCCAGTGGAGACATCATAGTCCTGAAGAGGAGATCAGGTAATCAAATACTGAATCTGTTCCTTGAAAATTATTTTGATTTTAAAAAAAAGTCAACCAAAACTCAACCAAAGAAATTGGTAAATGTAAGATGTTATTTTCTTTACTTAAATCTAAATACCTCATTAGAAGACCACAGTAAATACATTGACTTGCTTAGGTGTTATTCCATAATAATTATGTTCATTCCAGAGTACTTTTGTTCTATAATTTCAGCCTTGGACCTGCATGTTGGCTTTGGGACTACCTGAGGCGCAGCAAACAGGTAACAACAACTGGGTTTGTTCTTTGTCTTGGCAAACACATCTTCTGTGCCACAGGGGCAATACTATGCTGTGCTGCTGGTAATGCAAAGGGCTGTTAGTCCAAGGTGCAAGGTTTGAGTTTTTCACTCATTCTGACTTAAAATTGTGTTCAGTGTGTGCCTTCAGTATGCTCTCTGCACCTTTCCCCTGGGAATCTTGCTTTCCTTGAAAGCAGCAGTCAAGCTTACCTAACAAAGGGGATTTATTTTTCATTCAAACACTGTTTTTAATAAGAAAAATGTTAGTGGTATAACAGGGATGTTTTAAAATAAGCAGAGTGACATGAACTAGTAATTCAGAAGTATATGTGAAAAATGTAATCCTTTTTATTAGCTCTTCTCTTTTACTGGAAGATAAAAACATACTGGAAGTATTTCTAGCCCAAAGGTTTACACTGACTACTTGTTTGATAATCCAGATGATGAGTTTAAAGAGGGTTTGTTTGCTGTTTGTTTTTCCTCAGTAGAACATGAGCAGAGCTGAACAATGCACCTGTCACTCCGTGTTTCTGAATGGCACAATACATGGTTTTTTCTAGTTTTGTTAAGTGAAGCATCTTCTTCTTTGCTCTATTTTCAAGGCAGGATTTCTCCTACCTCTTAGTGGTGGAATTGACAGCTCTGCTACAGCCTGCATAGTGTACTCGATGTGTCACCAGGTTTGCCTGGCAGTCAAGAATGGAAGTAAGTAGATGTGTGTGTCTGGCCACTCATGGGTATGGACAAGTTAATGCTGACTGGGTGCAGTAGACACAAGAGGTCATGAATGGCAAACTCTTTAATGGAGTCCTTTGGATATCCAGAAATTCCAGCAAAAATGTGTGTCCAGGTTCAGATTCTTTGAATTGACTTACTAGTTTTAATTTTCAGTTGAAGAATTGCCTGTGGCACTCAGACTAGTTTCTGACTAAAGTATTGTTCAAATGTTGGCTGCTGTAGTTTGGGAATTTCAGTTCAGCCTGAAAATTTTGCCCTCCTATTAAAATCAGCCCTTCAAAACATGGTTAGGCACAGTTCAATCTCTTAAACTGGTTAAGTATATTTTATGCATTTAGCAAAGCTTTGCACCTATTGGGTGATGTTTTATATGGAGGTTCATTAATAAATCAAATGAATTTAATATTTCCATGTTCAAAATCAGCAGCAAAATCAGTAATCCTTTGATACATGAAAATTTGTTTGGGAAGTGAAATGGTGGAGTCATTTGTGAGGGGCAGTGTAAAGCTTGATTGGAATGTGTGTAAAGCTTAATTGGAACACAAGGAATGTACAAGATATTTGCCTATCCTGGGTAGCAGAAGCACAACAATTTCCACTGCTGTTCTGTTTGTTCTGCCTTGCTGTCAGATGCAGAGGTGCTGGCTGATGCACGCAGGATTGTGAACGATGAGTCCTACATCCCTGAGGATCCTCGGGAATTCTGCAGGCGTATCTTTACCACGTGCTACATGGCTAGTGAGAACTCCTCCCAGGATACCTGCAACAGGGCTAAACTTCTGGCTGAGCAAATAGGCAGGTACAGGCTGAGGAGTGCTGGGAAAAAAAATGCATGTTCTGGCCAAGACTTTTATCTAAAACTTTCAAACTCCGGAATGGGGAAAAAATAAGAGAGGAATAGGAGGTGTGTTAGGTAGGAGTATTATAGATATTAATATTTAAGTGTTAATGTAAGCAAACTTAGAAGCATTTGGTGAAGGACATGGAAGTTTGGGGACAGACTCTGGAAAGTGTTAACGCTTTCCTAAGTTTCTTCATACCAGATTTGAGCTGTTAGCAGCCTTGAAACATCATGTGATGGGTGGGTTTTTTGCTCTTTTTTGATGCTCTTTTATATAGTCAGATTGTGCTAGTTGAGTCACTTCTGCTTGGATTCTTCTCAGCTATCACATCAATCTGAACATAGATGCAGCTGTGAAAGCTGTTGTGGGAATTTTCAGCGTGGTGACAGGTCGGACTCCTCGATTTTCTGTCTATGGAGGGAGCAGCAGAGAAAGCCTAGCACTGCAGAACGTGCAGGTGTGTGCCAGGTGGGCTCAATCAGGTCAGCCCCTTTTGGTTGGATTCATTTTTGAAGAGTACAAAATGCTCAGGTACCAAAGGGGCTCCTCATTTGATGTACTGTGAAAACCTGAATTTGTGGTGTGCCCCTAAAGATTCATGGGCTTCTGGGAATTGCTTGTCTGCAGCAGAATTCATGAAAAGACCAAGAAAATTACTGTTTGTGACTTTTGTAGAATGGTCAGGAAGGAATAGCACATGCCTGGATCCCATCAATAGCATTGGCCTAGGTGCTGTTCAGAAAAAGATCCCAACAGAGAACTGCCAGGTTAGGAAAACAAGCAGCAAAGTATTCTAACAAGAAGTCAGAGTCCAGTGGGGTTGTGACAGGTTAAGACCCAAAAATACTGCTGATGTGTACTTTGCTCTGGTGAATGTTAGCAGCCTTTAGAAGGCTCTGAATGAGATACAAAGCTTACCCATTTCAATTCCTACATGTCCTCAGTTTTAGAAGGTGGAAGAGAATCTTTTTACTTTAACATCAGAAGGTATTTAACCTTCATTAGGCTTATTTTGGCCTCTTCTTAAAAGCTTCCAACCTAACCAGCAACTCTGCTTGAATTCTGGCTAAATGTTGGTTATCCTGTTCTTAGTTCCTGTTAGCTGAGGACTTGATCCTTCTCCCTCTGCTATTACTAGAGAAATTCAGCTGTGTTCCCTGGAAGCAAACACTGCATCCTCTATCAGCTTTTTGCAACAGAACAGGCTCTGGTCACAGAGGAGTGTGGTGATTTGCTTAACATCACCCACAATTGTGGCTGGAGCTGGAGACTGAATCCCAGGTTGGTTTGGTATTATTGCCATCCTTGGGAAAAGTTTCAGAATGGAGACAGAAGCAAAGTGAACTTTTTACAAATGTTATGCATTACTCTAAAGGGATTTATGTACTCTATAAAAGGCTGTGGTAGACAGATGATTTATCTGCATACTTTGTCCCTCGTGGATCCTTATTAGTGTTTTGTAGGAGGTAGAAAATGGCAACTACTCCCCATTCTGCAATTCAGAGGAGAACAAACTTGCTCAGTCGTGTAAGTCTGTGGAGTAGCAGATGCTGAACTTGGCTTTCCTAAGTGTAGTCAGCATTTTCTCCACAAGACCATCCTTGGTGTAACACTTATCCCTTCACATTTTGTTCTTTATGGGTTCGTTTAGGGAATTGATCGATAAGAGTGGGGAGAAATTATTCTGCTTTATAAATTTGTTTACCCTTACATTTTGCTTTGCAGGCTAGAATAAGAATGGTCCTTGCCTACCTTTTTGCTCAGCTGACACTTTGGGCTCGTGGCATGCCAGGGGGGCTGCTAGTGCTGGGATCAGCCAATGTGGATGAAAGGTTGGTGAAAACTGGAAACCCAAACCCAGGGGGAACAGGTTACTGCATTTCCTTGCAACTATACCAAATCCCAGTGGAGATTATTACTCAGACGAGGCAACAACCTAAGAATACACTGATAACAGTGAAATTAAGGAAAATAGTTAAATTGGCCTGAATGGAAAACTGTGCATTTTTGAGAAGTTTAGCCCAAGTATTGCCACAGCTTCCACTGAAGTGCTGTTTTCAGTAGAGCTTGCCTGTGCATTCACTAGGTTAACTTCCCAATTGGTTGTGTTTTCAATTACTGTATTAGGGATTAAGATGTGAACTTTGAGTTGAAAAAGAGCTTTTAAAGTCTGGACCACTGTTATTCGAGCTGAGTATTTGAAGATTAAAGCAATCCCTGTAAGACTGTGGGACCTTTAAAGGCTGTGGGAGTACTGTGTGCTGGTTCTGTGGGTGCTTGGGGATTTATTTTTCTAAGTGGTCAGCACAGTATTTTAATTGTTTTGCATCAGATATATTGGTTTAACATGAGTAGTTTTGCAGTGCTTCATAATTGTGTAAAGTATCATCTTCTCCTGGCAGTGTCATGGCTTTAGCATGAATGTTTGCCTTATGGGTACAACTATGTTAACAATGTGCTGTCTGTTTCTCCCTTGCTTTGTTCTACATGTAAATTTCTTTACTATAAATGTTTATATGTTATCCTATGGTTGCATTCTTATTTACTATTACTGTATAAACGTTTCTGTCTTGCTCAGTCTCCGTGGTTACCTGACCAAGTATGATTGCTCAAGTGCTGATATCAACCCCATTGGTGGAATCAGCAAGACTGATCTGAAGAACTTCATACAGTATTGCATTGAAAACTTTCAGCTCACAGCCCTCAGGAGGTGAGCACTGAGCAGGGATTCAGTCACTCTAATTGTGTGCAGCATGTTGTGGCCTTTGCAGTTTGGTTTTCTCCACTGACAGAGCTAAGCTGCAGTAACACTTCCAGTGCTAATACAGTATCCTGCACATCCCTCTGGTTTTAAAGGATTGTGTAAGCTTACACAATGCTGATGGGTGCTGAAAATGTCAGCAGGCTTAGGAGTTACTGCATGCAAGCATTTGTGGAATTAATCCCACTGAAGGAGCTGTTTGAACCTGATGCTTTGTTTTGTGTATAAATCATCGTTTTTTAAACCTAGAACAGCTACAGGTACCACTTCTTTAGATTTGTCTAGTCCTTTGGCAGCCTGTGCCCTGAAAAAGCTTTGAGTAAAGCACCTGATTTTGGACAAACCACTCAGTTTCTTAACTAGTGCTCATAAGACTGGATAGAACTCATGGTTTTGGTTTTACCTTTTTCTTACAGTATCATGTCAGCTCCACCCACTGCAGAGTTAGAGCCCCTGGTGGATGGACGAGTAGCTCAAACTGATGAGGTAATGGGCAGTGCCTTTAAAATGCTCTGGTAAGCCTTACCCCAAAACTTGTGTTCTGTCCAATAACTGTTGCTTGTTCTTGTATGTCTCCCTGCTTATTGACAAGCTTCTTTGTAAACAGGCTTAAGGCTGCTGACAAGGCACTAGGATCCCACACTAGCCCTGTCTATGCTGACAGTACTTTCCAAAACAGCAAGTTAATTTTTTTTTTAATGATTTTAGATTTTTGGATACTTAGAAGGTTCTGAAATTCAGTTCAAGGTTTTTCTAATATCAAAAGAGAGTCAGTCAAGGCCTTATTACTATTGAAATGACTGGTGACAAAGCCCTTACTCTTGTCCCCATGTCCTTTTCTTTGCTGTCCACTTGGAAAAGAGAGGACTGGTAAGCCTAACAACTACCTCTAAGG